AAATGGAAGGGAAGGGTAAATGGGAATAGGAAGAGAAAAACAGCAAAAAAAAAAAAAACTATGAAAAGAAAAAGCAATGAAAAAGAAATGGAAGGGAAGGGTAAATGGGAATAGAAAAAGAAAAACATCAACTAAACTAACTTGATTCATCACTTTCGTCTCCTGTAGTCTGTCTCCTAGTCCTAGGGACATCTCCATTTGCAAAATGTGTTGAATCAGGTGTGAACACCTCAGGACTACTACAAACAGGCTCAATCATCTCTACTTTAACATAATGTTCATTAACGCTCACACTTTGTCTTTCATCTTCCACATTCAGACTATTAACAGGGGATTTTTCGTCACTTGATAATAGCTTAGTCTCTGAAGCACTGTCTGTAGTTTTAACTGACTCCAATCGCGGTTGTAAGTTTGCGGGAGTTGCCGCATGGCATGGAGTAATGTTATCGATAATTAAAGTAGAACGAACTTTCTTATTTCTATCATCAACAAGTTTCACCAAACGCAGCACTGGTGTTGCCTGGTATGACATTTTCTCAACATTTGTTGGGTTGCTATCTGACTTGTCCCTAAGTAATTTGTCTGGAGTTTCAGAGTATGCTCTAATTCGTTTAAACCTTCTATCCATCATATACTTTCGATAATAACTTTGGATAATCTGTGCCGAGCGATGAGCCTTTTCTTTGCCTCCATATTTTCGTTCAAGCAGCATCAAGCTTCTTTCTTGAAGATCTGGTGATAGTTCGTACTTCTTGTTAAAAGATTTGGATCGGTTAAGACTATCATTTCTTTTAACGCTAGCCTCTCTGGATTTCCCCTTGCTGGGAGATCCCTTTATGCCGCCTTTTGAGGGAGATGACACTGATTTAGGTCGATCTTCTTCGGGTTTCTGAACTGTGATGACAGGTGATGATGGCGTAAAATTTGCATTACATCCTTCTGGTGTTGATTGGTCATCACTACAACAACAACAACAACAGCAATTTACATATAAAGCACAATAGGCCATTTCACGGATCCCATTACTCAACCTCAGCCTTGTCAGCGTGTAATTATTCTTTAGAATTTGACTACAGTCCGCAGTAATGAAAGGAATTTACACATCAACGAACAATTGAAACACTTAAAAATTTCACAGGTCGTAGGCAATTTCTAAAGAATATATTACATGCTGAAGAGGCTGAGGTGGAGCCGCGGGATCTGTGAAATGGTCTATTGATTTTCAAAGTACATCCATAGACATTAGATCACAATTATGGTATTAAATTAACGATTAATTGTACATAAGAAACTACAAGAACCACTAGACACTTGAATAACTGATTGATTGATACGTTAATCACTTATAAACAGTTTTTTAAAAGATTATTTCAAAAAACATTGTACCGTCTTGGTTCTCAATTAATTAAAGAAAATTAATTCATTTCGCAGATTAAAAACAAATCATGCCCAATCAATCAATCAGAAACAAGTATGTATATGTAGTATTAAAGGTAAAACGATTATTGTGCTTTTTTGTTTCCTGGCTAAGATGGGAAAAATCACATAATTTTTTAACTCAAAATCATGCTTCATATTCCAATTTAAATCTGTGACAATATGAAAGTGAAAAAAGCCATGATCAAACCTTCTTTCGCTTGTAATTTCACATTCTCGAATGATTAGTACATTTAAAATGTTTTAATGTAGATGATTTGAAAAAGATTTCCTATTATATGGGGATTCAAAAAATATATCCTATTATGTGGGAAACCAATCATCAGTATTACAGTGTATGACTATTTTAATTTGTCAATGACCACTTTGAATTAATATTAAAATACTAATTTAAAAAAAATCAAAAATCAATTACAAGAGTGTTTTTTTGATTATGGTTGGGATACAATCTCTAGAAAATAAACAGTGGATTTAGTACAAAATCAAAATGCAATTATCTCAGTTCTTTCAATGACTATATGTCTCCAAATGTTACCTTTTTTATTTACAATAACCATACATAGAACGTGGCTGGATTGTTTTAATCTTAATGTATTCCTATTTAATATATATCATTAAGCTTACGTATAATATTGATTTCAACAAACAATATCACAAGTTCTATATATTATGACTGCTAAATAGGTCTTTTTATATGCAAAACAATGTTGGAATAAAACGCTAAATATACATTTATTAAGATATTAGATACACTTTAATAAAAGCAAGGCAAGTCACGATCTCACAACGGCACACACAGATACAGTGGGTAATGTTCAGTTGAAACACTTAAAATCGCTTATACGCCTACAAGTATTGATTTCGCAATCAAATCAACCCACAAAGATACTTCAAGTATCCTACTAAATAATCAAAGTCGAATTTTTTGTTTGAATTGATTTTCAATTTCGACACACGCGACACAAGTGAGGTGAACTTTGAGTTGAGAGGGATTTGATTTGAATGACCTCGTCAAAAATCCAAATAAACCACACACACAAACGAGAAGTACAACTAACCTGCTTTGTCCGTGGTTCATATCCACAACAGTACAGTCCACGGCTGCTAAGTCTACACCTTTCAACTCCAGTATTTGGCGTTTCAGTTGCTCTCTTTCCTTCTCTAAGGCTAAAATTTTGTCTTTCAGAGCAACGTTCTCGGAGATTTTCGCGCGAATCACTTGGTCTTGCTTTAGGATACATTGTTTGAGCTTGTCGACAATGGTCAGGGCTTCTTTAGTTGAGCTTTGTGAAGTCATTTTAGCGGTGTTTAGAGTGAATGGTTAAGAGAAATACTTAGTGATTTGCAGTGATTGCCAAGGTGTTGTAGTGCACATCGCACCCGCCATTTTGTTTACTTCCTAATACGTATGGGCTGAAGCAAGACCAGTCATGTGACAGGAAACGCACCAATCAACTTTAAAGATTTCCGTAACGCAAAACTGATGTTTACAATAACAGTCACGCAATCTCCAAAAATAAATAACACATTAAAAATCATTTAATGATTAAACAAATAATCAAATCTAAACCTCCATAAAACAAGAATTAGATCTTTATCTTATTGACTATACAAAAATTTGGTCGAGACCAGATTTTAGATTTTAGAAAAGGAAATAACACACCTCTTTCAAAACTACCGAAAAAGAAAAGGCCCCCAGGGGCGGGGGTTATTTAGAGGAATTGTTACCCATCTATCCAATCGCTGATAAACAAGCTTTCAGGATATCAAAAGAGCAAGAATGAGGAAATTAAACCAAATAAGGTCAAAAAATTAAATGAGTCATACAGGTTATCACATTATCTTTAAAAAAATCTCACACACCCAAATACTTTTTAATAAAATGAGTCTTCACCATTTATTTTTGATACGACAAAGGATATTCATGGATTTTTTACTGAACTACAGATTTTCTAAGACTCCCTCCACTATATTTTCATTTATCCATTCATCCACACACCCACCCACCTACAACCCTTCTAGCCATCTGTCAAGCCATCCATCCATTCTCTCATCCATCTTTTTAGTTAGTATAGTATTCATTCATCCTTCCATTCATCCATTCATTCCTTCATTCAATCATTCATCCTTCCTTCCATCCATCCATTCATTCATCCATTCATTCATTCATTCATTCATTCATTCATTCATTCATTCATCCATTCATTCATTTCTTCATTCATTCATTCATCCTTCCTTCCTTCTATCCATTCATCCTTCCATCCATTCATTAATCCATTCCTTCATTCATTCTTCCTTCCATCCATTCATCCATTCCTTCCTTCCTTCCATCCATTCATCCATTCCTTCCTTCCTTCATTCATCCTTCCTTCCTTCCATCCATTCATTCATCAATTCATTCATCCATTTCTTCATTCCTTCATTCATCCTTCCTTCCATCCATCCATTCCTTCATTCATTTATAATAAATAAGTAGGGAGCCCCTCTATAAAAACAAATTAATATAATTCATCATTTATTTTTGGTTTGACTATTATTTACAATTCAGTTTAATCATGTGTGAAAATCACTAAATATGAGAGCAATTATATTTACTGTTTTCCTTTCCTAAGCTGTACAGAAGTCTATATTTGTCGTATTTCATGGATTTAATAATAAATTCAAAATTAAAGTGTGATTACATCAACCAAGGCCACCCTAATTTTCATACAAATTAGCCCATCACAATTAAGTATTTAAACAATAGAATCAGTACAAATATTCACATTTTTCCCTTAAAAAGCATAGGCCATAATGAAAAAGGGCGTTCCCTTGAGATACCTTAATAGTTCATCAGTTATAGAAGACATCAATGCTTTCATTAGAAAGAGTATATCGAAATTAGATATTTTCCAAAATTTCCATGTACTGTAGTAACATTAAATGATAAAAAGCTACAGCTGTTTGAAATTAGAAAGATTTGCATATAAACAACAACCAAGGGCCTACCCGTCTTGTTAGCATGTTTTTGGTACATTTCAAATGCTTATAACTCTTCAGAGATTTAATATATGACAACAGAACTTTCCGAAATTACTAATTTAGACATGAGAATATGTGGACCTTGTAGCACTTATGAAATACAAGATATAGAAATATAGATAAGTTATAGTGCTTGGGAACAAAGTTATTCCTGGTGAAAGACCCTTGGAAATAAATTTGTAAAAATTAATTTTTCCGAATTTATTTCCGAGGGTCTTTCGCCCAGAATAAACTTGTTCCCAAGCACTATGGTATAACTTATCTATATTTCTATATCTTGTAATTTAGACATGATCTTTCTTGTAATGAAAATATATATCGAGAAAAACCAAATTTTAGAATGCAGTATGTAACTACCAAGTTTGCACAATATGGAAAATCGCAGTAAACTCCAGAATCGATCACCATCCTGTTATTCAATGTCAAAAACGTGATTTGTGAATTTGATTTAATGTGATCACACTTTAACTTTCCTAAAGGTAGATTTAACATAATTTATAATATTTGAATATCTCACTTTGTACAGTATGTATATGCACCATAGTATAATCATAGTATAGTAATAAAATACAGTTTGGAAATGAAAAATAGAAAGTGAAAAAAAATTAACGAAATAAAAAATAAAGATGACAATATCTAAATGAGATCCTGGAGTAAATATTTTATCATATATAATTATCCACAAAATGTCTATATTTTTCCTTTTTAAAAAACTGATATTTTCACATGTGAAAATAACGTTATTTTCACATGTGAAAATATCGTTACCATGTGTATTTAAGCTATTAGTTTATAAATAAAAACTTTTTATAATAATAAAAAGCTTATTACGTTGATTTTATGGATAATAATATAATAAATAGAATATTACATGGACATTTGGAGATACGAAATTTATCTTCTCATGTTGAAAATCTCTCGCTTGTTCACTGCGTTCAATCGAGAGCGATCTTTTCAATACTCGAAGATAAATTTCGTATCTCTGCACACCCATGTAATATCCTCTATGTAACACATATGCTTTTAACATGTTTTCCTTTTGTCTTAAAAAAAATACAGAAAAGTGTCATATTGTAAGGGCATAGTCAGTGAAAGCAAACAGACAATAACCTTTTAAAAATCGAAAGCAAATGGGAGCCATGTAAAAAGCATTGGCCTGCAAAACAATGGCTTCAAGTTGAGATTTGAAAAGCACATTTGCATTATGGCTTCATTAACTACGACTACCAGAATGCTAATTTCACACTTTCTATTGTTCAGTTAATTAGCACCAATTGATTTACTTATAATAATAATTATTGTTATGATGGAATAAAAATTTGATTGAGAAAGAAAATTTGCAAAGCATTTTGGTAGTAAAAGTAAAATTACACCATCATGCAAACGGCCCATTCACATAATACTAATACATTTTGATTCAAGTCCAACTGATCTTGGAGCCATTGATTAAATACATATATATTTCTTAAAATTTCAAATTTGATGTATATTTTATAGTATCTATAACACATCTTCTAAAATGATTATATCTCAGAAGTTCATTAACTGTTACATATGTCACATCCTTTAAAGTGTATAGTTTGTTAGTAATAATAAATATATCGTAATGAAATTTGTTTCAAAAGCTTATTTCTTGAGATATTTGAGAAAATTAATATCAATTTGTGACATCATTTTGTTGACACGTACTCTAGATTCAGTAGTAATGCACAAAATATAAATTGTAATTCGTATAAAATAACAACAAAAGGCATATTTTATTCAATTTCATTTGATAGCTTACGTAGTACTCTTCAATTGTTGGGAAACTGAAAAGTGCACTACCTGAAATTAAGATTCCACATTCAAACATATTTCGTGTATTTGCAACTAAATCTGGAGGCTTGTAAACAAAATGACGTCACAACTTGTGCTAAATTTTCTTGAATTTCTAGAGAAATACGTTTTTGAAGCAAATTTAACTGTGTTATTCTTATTAATGACAATAAAATACACATTTTTAACATTCAATTTTTTTCGTGTCATATGCACTTTAAACAATTACAAGATGTTTTAGATTACTAAACCTTTTGAGACAGTAAAAGTGAGCTACACTCACAAGATAAGGAGATTAGAAATGGGATAATTGAATGAATAATCTATTCAGATATAGGGTTGAGTGCTTGAGTGCTCCACAATGTTTACAACAGCAGTCATGGATATGGGTGGATATGGGAATATACGGCAAGTGGGGGTTTTGAAAGTGATGAAATCAAACTCATAATAAATAACTTCAAAATGACCCTCCTCTCTTTTACTTTCAATCTATTTGTTTTATGGAGGTTGGTACTCCGAGCTGTCATAGTAAGGGTATTCGACTGCAGTTAAGGAATTTTTGGGTATACTACCTCAGGAAAAATAAACCCAAAATCTAGTCAGATGCTCTAACCACTGAGCTCCTGATCTACTGGGAATTCTAATTAGTGTGTAGGTCTTCCTATGCACAAAGTGACAAACCGACTGCAACTGTATATTGGTAGGAAGTTTGGATCTTTCTGGACATGTATGTAGGGTCGTGCTGTCCATAGCTTGTAGGCCATCAACTTTCCAATACTTCTTTTTTTCATTAACAAATTATTCTTTACTATAGACATAATACATCAGTTGCTCATAAAGGGACATACTATAATAAGGCATATACTCCATTTTTTCTTTATCTTAAAAAAACAAGCTCTATTTGCTTGGACATGAGAAATGAATTCAATCTAGTTCAAGATCACTGTCACTCTCTTCATTACTTGGACTTGTCTTTTCTACTAACTTTAATGGGTTCGCAACTGGTTCTTCTGATAAAATTCCATTTCTAAAAACAAGACACAAAGAATAACTGTCTTGCTGTGCCAATCAAACTTGTGGTTGTGGTTGGGGGGGCGAAGAGTTGGGGACACTGGGGAATCAATAGCAGCAGTGGCAAGCTTTAAAGCTTGGAGAAATGAATTCTATAAACCTGGGGAAGGGTTAATGTGGGTGCCACACTCCAGATCCACTCAGCAATATTATAAACAAAACCAACCCTATCACTGGCCAGCAGGGTTTGCAAGACTAAAAACCTTGAACCAAATTTTATCAAGCACTTAAACAACCTCTGGGCAGGGCACAACTAAATCACAGATGAAAATGGAATCTAGCTGACTAAGATTACTGAACTCTCAACCATAAGGCCTCAAGACTGTTAAACAAAACATTACTGACATCACTAACAACAAAAACAATAATGATAATAATTAATGTATTCTTGGTATGCATCATCACCATTTTCATACTTACTCAATTAGAAAACTTTCTACATCTGCTGAATGAAAGTGATCTCCAAACACACCCTCTAACTGTACAAAGTTTCCTATCATCTGTTCCCCTTTGTAAACAAGCAGAGCAGGAAGACCATTTTCTCTCTAGAGAAGAAAGCAAAAAAGCTGTTTACTATTATTGTTGCTTGCTGTGGCTGTTGTCGATGCTGATGCTGATGATGATGATTAAATAATGACAGGTGATGACAATGTTGATGGTGATGATATTGATGCCGCTGTGTTGATGAGGCTTGATGTTGGGGTTTCAATGTTGATGTGATGTTGATGATGGTGATGATTTAATCATGATAATGGTAATGATGGTGATACTGCTGCTGGTGACAGTTGTCAATTATTCATGAAGATACTGATGATAATGATGACAATGAGAATGATGATTGCTTAGTGATGATTCTCAAAATATGAAGACAGTAAAGCTGCTTATAATGTAGTAGTGGTTACAATACTTACAAAGTTTGCACTTATTCCTGTAATTACAGCTTTTACTCTGCAGAATTTTACCTAATATAACAAAGAGAACAATCAATGAAACCAAGCCTCAATCACTACATGAGATAGATATATATAATAGTAATTAAAATATCAAACTGAGCTTACCATGGGATACTGCAGTGCTAAACAATCAAGACATTCATTCATGCATAAACAGCTTGGCAAATCCTAGTAAATAAAATTTAACGATCAGGCCAAACAAAAAAACATGTGTTTCCTGTTGCGTGAGAAAAATAATTGGGGTCAGTAGGTCGGATTTTTTTTACTGATACAAAAGTGGAAATGAGCTTACTGGGAACCCTGTAGTGCATTTGGGAATGAAAAAATATTAGGGTCGGCAAAAATCGACAAGAAAATTAGGGTCGGTTGCGCAACAGGAAACACACTTATTTTTTTCGTTTGGCCTCATAATAGTTGAGAAAACAGTTTAAACTAGTTGAGGTGTTTGTTAATAGTTTTTTCTCTGTCTTTGATGGAAAACAACTTAAAAGTTATATTAATTTTGCAGTTTTGCACTTTTTCATTTGACATAAATTTATTTCAAGCGACAAATATTTCTCATGGTGTAGCGCTTCACGATGGACATAAATTTATGCAAATCAATAAAATTCAAAAGCAACTCAAATATATATATATATTTGAAACAGCCATGATGTCATTGATTTCATGAAACTGTACATCCCTAGTCACTTTTACTTTGAAATCCAATCAAATTGTACAAAAATGAACATTTTCATCATAAATAAGAGATAAGTTCAAAAGTGCATTAACTCTTAACTTGTTTGAATTAGAAATCAAATAGAAGCAAAGTAAATGAATACCTCATCATATAAATGAACAACAATCACAACATGTAGAAGTTCTTTGTCAATCACATGAAGAAATGAGTCACTAGTTGCTATCTCTACTACCTGACCAAATTTGGGCCTGAAAAAAAGAGCAATTTCAAGATTACATGATTAAAGTAATATGYAGACACCAAAGCAGCTCAATCTGGGATACAATACAAAAGAATTCCAATCTCCTGAGAATTGGAACGTACTGTTTTGTCTCCCAGATTGAGCTCTATTCCAGCGTGCTACAAGGGTTTAATATAATATATATAATTTGTGAATGTAAAATTCTTATTTACTTAACAGATAATAGACCTCTTTAGCTTGGAGGTAATGCTTTCTCCTTCCAGACCAAGTGCTATTTTCTAGAGTATTCTTTCTTTGTTTAACAGTTGCACTTGAGATGAAAAATGAATATGGATACAACTCTCAAACAAAGAATCTTATTCTTGAGAGAAGGACATGTGGTCTGAAATGGGAAAACATTAGGCCCAAGGTAAAGAGGCCTATCAAAGGTGCTATGCTTATTAATAATTTAAATGTTTAATTCTTTAAAGAGGATATATTCAGTATTTAGTTGCTCTATCATTGCCGCAAAGTAAAAAAAAAAAAAAAGACTGGAGGCTTAAAAAATTAAAAATTAAAAAAATTAAAAATAAATAAAATTAAAAATTGAAATTAAAATAATATATATATATTGGATATATATAGGGTTTAAATAATTGCTTTAAACATATCTAGACTAAATAAGTAAACATAAAACATCATTTATCTAGCAATGACATTTGCGTGAAAAAAATAAAAAAAGAAAGATTAAAAAAAAAACAACCTTGTCTCAGATATTTTGCGGTCTTGCTCTTCTTTCATTTGAAGAAGTCGTTTGAAATGATATTGCTTTAAGAATTCATCTTCCTCAATTTCCAATTCTTTCATTAATGCTTTCTCTTTTTCATCATCCAACTGAATTTAAACGAAAAGAAAGGAATTATTTCAGGATAAATATAATATCATAATAACACTGTCCTGCTTGTCAGAGGTTTGAGAAAATAAGTAAACTTTCTGCAAAGCACTATGGTAGGAAGGGTGGGGCACTAGGGTGGGGGACATGAGGGGTGCATGCAGTATTTGATGAAATAGCTACTGTGGGTGCCACTGCCCTCACAGTGAAAAACTAAATGAATAAATAAAAGCAAGAACAGATCTCTAGAGAATTTTTTGAAAGGGGTCAATTGGTGATCTGGATATGAAATTGAATATGTAACAAATGCAAATTGGGTCTATATACTGAATTGCTATGGGAATAATGAAAGATAAGGAAGCCCTCCCTGGATGGCACAATGAGCTACTAAAAAATAAAACGTGGCCCACACTATCCTACCACATACCTGACTCTCAAGGACAAAATCTCTTACCACAGATTATAGGATTTAGCTCTCAACTCTCGGATTAGCTTTATTCTTTATACCAAGAACATGGTGATCAAATTATATAGGTCTAGAATTAGGTATCAATATTATAAATATTGTCAGTGCATATACTCACACTGCTTTGACAACTAATGGAAAACTTATTGACCAAGGCCTTTAATTCTTCTTCTTGTTGATGTCTTTGCTCTGTTTCAAGCTGTTTATACCTTTGGAAATCTTGTAAGACACCTTTTGGCCCTGTCTTAATAAAATGAGAATATTCTATTAAAATTCATATTGCAACATGGAAATTATCAAAATTGTTTTTTATATTAACATTCAAAAAGAGATTAATGGATTTCCACATCCATTTTTCTTCTTTTCTTTCTTCCTTTCATCCTTTTCTCTCGCTCTTTCTTTCCTTCTTTCCCCCCCACTTTCATTCACTATATTATTTCTACTACGTCAATTATTCCCATTGTTTTATCCCCCTTTCTCTCCCTGCTTCTAATCTTCTTTATAATTTTACGGTAAATAAACTCTTATATCTCTCACTTAGCTTAAATACCAAAATTCTGTGACGATTCACACTCGTATCTCTCCATCTAACTACTAATCCCCAAAGAGAGCCATTTCATAATATTCATAAATAGGGGTTAAACTGTGAATAACCCCAGTTTTTTGTTGCTTAGAATAAGAAGAAATACCTGAAAACGAGAAAAAATTATAGAGTCATCTCCTTTAAAGCCAAAAGATTATGAACACTTCAAAAACACCTGCCCTAAATAAAGGTGGCTCGAAACCAATTTTGAGCAGTCAACTCTAGGCGATAAACTCCATATAGACGCAACTTTTACTTTTTCTAAYTTTAAATTTGATTTCATATACACCTCAGCTGTTTCTTTCTTCAGATATATATTCTATTTCTTATCTAAATTTGGCCGAAATCATTTATTATGCATTAAATTTACTAACCTTTGTTTCAGAAGCCAATCGAAAGTCCTTTGAAGGTTCTTTCGATGTCGCTGGAGCCGGTTGTGCTTCGCCTTCTTCACTTTCCTCTTCGCTTTCAGAACTCGAAACGTAGTTCTGAGTTTTGTAGCCGAGAAGTTTATCGTCTAGGCTAGCCATAATTTGAGGTTTTCTGGAGGAAATAGGGTTTTTGTTCGGTGTTTTTGGTTGTCAAACACGACAATATGAACTTGAACGAGTCACTCGAGTATTTTGTTCGTTTTGATTGTAGCCTGGCTTGGCGGAAAGACACAGGAGGCCCAATCTCAGCTGTTCATCAATATTAAAAGTGCACAAGTGAATGGATACGGGTGAAGGGGATGAAGTTCATTGCGGGATGGAGGAATTGAGGAATGGAGGGATAATTGTAGGATAAACATCGATTTCTAAATTTGTTGAGAATCAGACATATCAGAGCTATCGATTCTGATGCGGGGTAATAATTGATTCAATTCGTTATTGTTTTTAACTGTTTCGTTCCCCTCATAAACAAGCTTTGACTTCATAGTGATATAGGACAATTGAATTGATAAATGGATAAGAAGTCGTTTCTGGACGGATGGACGGATGGACGGATGGACGGATGGACGGATGGATGGATGGACGGATGGACGGATGTATAGGTTGGTGTGTGCGTGAGTTCGTGAGTAGAAGAAGAATCAGTGAACGGAGAGATTGATGAAAAGATAACTGATCAATTTCAGATAAGAACTCGATCCGACTGATGATGTGGATAGCACGCAAATGTGAGAGAAATACAGCAAGTAAAATAAATATATGAGGTATAAAAAGGCGCAACCAAATGTAGAGGCCAAGAAGGCGCTTTTCCTTATTTTTGCAATTTGAGTTTGACCAAAGACTAGTTTTATCTTTAAGGTTCAATATAAAAAGCCAATTTCAAAATAGTTTTGAGCTATCGACGGAAGTTTGTCCATCAACAAGGTTAATATTCGTTGCGCTGTCAACTTTGTTATGCCGCTATTCTCTTATCTAAATGGATCGATTAGTTTAGGTGGTAAAACAAAAGGATACCAATACTATTTCATATTAATTATTACAGCAAAATGATCACAAGTTTCCCAGGAAAAATAGAATAACCTTACTTTTCTAAACAGAGAGTGATATATCAATGATGACTTCTTAAGTTTGCCGCGAGGCGCCGGGGAGATCGCAGGATCGAAAGGCGCCATGGGCGTGGTCCAACGGGAAATTGATTATTGGACCATTAGATTACTGGAAATCTTCACGCCACATGCAGTAGGTACCATTTGATTAATGGATAAAGGTAATAGCGGGATTGATTGTTTGCTACATCAAACAGTCCCTTGGAATTTTGAAAGTTATTAATCTAGACAGTCTAAAATGCGTGAAAAGCAGCGTTATTACGTTCAGGCGCTAGTTTACTCACGGCCCTCTCCCACGTTTCCTCCCTGGTGGCGGGGAGTAGCTGTGCGCAGGCTGCTACTTGTGTGTGTATGTTCTCCACTTACTTATTCTTTTTGCCATAGATATGGAGTTAGGAAGAGATAGATAGAAGCAGCAAGTGGAGTATGCCCGTTCGGGGTTTTGGAAAGGAATGGCAGGAAGCCAATGCGACATAGACCTGTAACTGAGTCAAAATGGGATGAGATAAAAAACGAGTCGTTTTAGTCATCAACTGAAATGTTGCCACTGAAAAAGGACTAATGAGATGCAGACATGCAGCCGGTGCAAATCAGGAACGTTAACTCGATCTGTCCTCGTACCTAGCTGGACCTCAATATCTCAATATCGCTACTTCTTCGCATGTTGGCTGTATAGGCACGTTTTTTTGTTTGTTTTTTTTACTGACAGGAGGGGCCGTGGGGCTTCACCACCCCTGGATCCGCCCCTGCATGAACCAAAGTCTTTGTTTAGCTGAAACAAATATGACGGTCTCCTGCCAGCCAGTTATCCCAACAATGTCATTCACCTCTACCCACAAGAATTCCATACCAAGTATATATAGTTAACATGCAAGCATGGTGTGCTGGAAGTCAGGGATCAGTTCTTAGTGAACCGTGAATTGATGATCAATAACATGGCTAGTTGCATTAGCGTAGTGCATTACAGCATGGCAGCTTTGCGTGACGACCTCTTTTGGCGTGACCCTCCTTAGATTCCATTTGTCCTTCAAAACTAGTGCATAACAAATCGACCCGAAAAAAAATCCAAGGTGGTAAATGGCATTATCAATCTAAGACTGCAAAACATATAAAACTGACCGCAGTACAGTCACCGTAATAGGCTCCTGCAACGAACAGAATTAAAATTTGATCCTCGACGTTTAGGCATCTGTCATTTTTCAAAATATTCGCTTTCATAACTTCATGTTTTTGGGCGTGATACGAGACATTATAGATATTATTCTTACCGGATGATAGAGTATTAAATGTCATTAAGATATTAGTGATATGAATAAAATTTAATCTAAGAAAATGGTGGTAAATCTAATGTTCAAGCTTTGTAATTGTGTGGGTGGTAAAACGAATTTTCTTAAAACATGGGTGAGGAATTCTAAAGAAAGCTGTTATACACAGATGGTGTTTTTTGTTTTTTTCGAATGACCGAGAAAAATATCAAGCCAGCAATAAATTATGAAATTTTGGCTTTAAGTTGATGATGCATAAGCTTGGAAGCCAAACGCCTAACCCAAACAAAACCGCAAAAGCCACTGAACCAAATGGTGAGACTCCTTCACACACCTTGAGAGGGGAGTTGTTTACAAATAACATGAACTTATAATACAAATAAAATTACACGATTTCATGTGCAAAAATATTTTATTCTGGTAATAATTACGGAATAGCTGAATAGTAACCTTTTATGATACAATACTCTTTCGCTTTTGAAAACCATTTTATGTACATAAACAAGTGTTTATTTACATGTTAAAATGTTCTAAGGCTGGGTATATAACTAACCTAGAATGCTGTTCTATAAGTATTAAAATTTCAATCAAAAAGATTAAAAGGCGAAGATGGTCTCTCGAAGTCTGGTTACTAAATTGACAATGAAAGAAAACATCCTGAACAAAACCAAAATGGGTTTTATTCTCGCCTGTTTATTGTATAGAGAGACAATCTTTCGCCATACCGGTAAAAGCCGCTAGTTAATCTTTTATAATGAGAATATGACAATTTTTGGTCAAAATTCCTCGGCTTAAACAATAAGTGTCTTGCTGGGAAGCTAAAGTGAATGCTTGCATAAACAAAAACGTCAATAAATACAACTAAACTAGTACAATTCAAAAGAGAAGCCAATATTATTGTTGTACAAAAATGGTGTTAGAATAGACATTACATAGAGAAAGCTACAAAAATATTTTTATTGTTTTATTAGATTTGAATAATACAGAAGCTCTGGAATATGGGGAATCAAAATATTTCCGTTTTAAAGAAAAATACTGCAATATTGATACCAGGAATAACAAATGCTTAATTATTATTATTAATGCTTTAGTTTAAGCTTCTGAAAACCTAAAAAGTTGCTACAGTTCCTCTTAGTAGTATTTTCTGAAAAAGTTGTGCAAAAACACATAATTTGAAAGTAAAACTGAGTCTATTATTAGAAAAGAAAACTTAAATCTAAAAATAAAACAAAAGCAAAACAATATAATATAATTTTAAAGTAAAGGTCAAATAGAGTGTTTGTGATCTCTTTTATGTATGAAAAAATATGTTTCCGATCTAGAATGAAATTCTTACTCTATGGAAATAGCTCTCTCTCCCCTATTTTGAAGATAAAATACAACTTTCTTTACTTTTCAAAAATATGAATAATTACAATTAGAAACACAAAAATAATACTCCTTCAATCTTAAGTGTAAATTGGAATTGTAAATTAAAGATTAATATACAATAACAATAACAATAACAATAACGTCATATGCTTTAAGTATATCCTTAACACTCATTGAATGTAGCTGCATTTGTTAGAAAATAGTTGTCCTTTGAACTCAGTAAATAAATGTTTTATGCTCAAATACAAGGATCAGAACAATTTCAAAGTTATAGTGAAAATGAAGCTAAAAGCAAAATATAGAACAGCTTGTCATCTTTTTATGACGGAATATTGACAGGTATATTTTGTTTTCATGTCAGTACATGAAATTAATCTTATGAATGCAAAAAAACTTAAATTCTTTTCTCATAAGTGATGAAAGCTTTTTTTTTTCCTTATTTCCATTAGTTTCATACTTCCAATAATTTTGAAAGTGCTCTATAAAGTTTGCTTTCAAATTAAGTTATAATAACTCTTCAAGATTACACACATTTACATCATCATGTATGTACATATTTTAAATTAATTGGCAATACTTTTAACATACTTTAGTTTAGTAATAGTGTTCTTTGCCGTATGGAGTTAATTAGCCCGATCATGATCTTGGCTTTAACTTTAAGGATCTTTCAAACAAGTCATCTTCATTCAAAAAGTTGTTGAACCCTCCAAAAAATTGTCGAATTTCATCCTTGACTTCAAATTCATACTGCATCAGTTTAAATCTTCGGAAGGTATCGAGGATGTTAAACAATTGCCATCGCTTGACAAAGTTCACCTTCCCATCAGGAAGCTCATCTACATTCCCAAGGCAGACAAACGTCACATCTTGTAGGATCAACCCAAGATAGGGTATACAAGGAGGTGTAGCCTCGGCTAGAGCTGTGCGATAGGCTCGGAATGATGAAGAGCTGTCAATCAAATCAGTGTATTCTGCCAGCTGGTCCAAGTAGTGTCTTGGCCAATCCAAACGCCTTACTGCTGAGCAATCCATTGCCGAGAGAACAGCCAAAAATGAATTAAAGTTATTGAATCGCCGAAGGTGCTTCATGATTTTCAAAAACTTGGCGTAAACTTTCTCCCTATCTTGTTGCTTCTCAAATGATAAGATGTACGATCTTGACCAGTAAGACACTTTGTTGAAATTGTCAGTGAAAATTGCTAAGTTGGGACTGTTTGTTTCACTTTGTTCTTTACCCCATGCAAGTATTTCAGGGATTTCAATTGCTCCAAAATTAGCAGCATCAATCAAAGTCAACTGTTGTGCGAGATCTTGTGCATGGAAATCCAAAATGGTGCAACTACTGTTCCCACTGGAAGGCTGAGGTGTGGATGGATTAGATGAGCTTCGCAATCTGTTGTAGTAGTTGTCACACTTTGGCAGCATTTTACTTCTCAAGATCTTGCCAATGTAGAGATCTCCATTGCAGAGAAGACGGTAAACCTCTTTCATAAGCTGCTCCAAAATACTTCGCTCAACTTTGCCGTTTAACTCATCAATGACTCTTAGAAGTAAGAAAAAGGCATTCTGACTTGCTTTCTTGTGGCCCCTCTCACGAAATCTTCTTTCTCTATAGAGAAGTTTGTTAATTAAGTCCTTGGGAGAAATGAAAGTTCTATAGGTTGTTAAGAATGCTTCGTAGAAAATCAAGTCACTTTTGCTAGCACCTGCTGCATATACAATCAAAGCATCTATAGCTCCTCCTACCAGCATGTTTCCTTGGCCATCGTCACGGTAAACAAGGAATCTTGAAACATCCAGACAATCTAATGCTGGTGTGGATTCATCTTCATCTGTGCTACTGATGCTACTAGAGCTTGCACTTGTATTACTGGCTTTCCGACTCGCTCCTTCTTCTACCAAAGATAACAACTTTTTCTTTGGAATTTCTTGAGATCTACTGTTTTGGTTCCAGTCAATCTGGGTCTCTCGTGTTGGGGATGGCGACGGTAAATGCGGAGTAGAAAATGCACGGTTGTCTTCTGTTCCATTCTGATTATACTGTCCTGATGCATGATGATTCCCTCTGTGACTAAGGGAATGTATTGCTGTAGAGCTTGCACTGTGTGATATACTCTTTCTAAATGTTTCCTCGTATCCATCAAAAGCTGATGTTGGTCGTCGAAGTATGTCTTCCGAAGGCTTATTGTAGCTTCCTAGTAGCTCAATATAAACTTGGAAGGACTTTTTCTTTTTTTGTAGTGGTGGTGGTTCATGACTGTTGTCCTCAACACCAATTAAGGTTGCCGGAATAACTTCATGGTCATTGTGGTTGTCAAGTTCATCCACTGAGTAAAAAGAACCTTCAAGGGAACTTCTGGCAGAGTGAAAGGGAGTCCTACCAAATTCCTGCGAGCCAGATGGTGATACCATTGGAGACTTAAATACAGTACTATCACCACTAAAACTGGAAAGTTCAGAGTCTTTTGAAGTTCTACTAGATAGTGTGTTGCGTTGTGCTCTCCTAGGAGACAGAAACTTGTCTGACGAGTGAAATGACCCATCTTGTGCCATGTGACCATTATTTGTGTCTATAATACAGTTATAAGATCCTCTGCCTGAGTCTCTTACAGCACGAGGAACAGGAGAGCGTGGTGGATCCCTCATATCACAGGTTCCACTACCTTCACTGATCCCGGAATCTCTCTTGTTCCATACCTGCATTTCATCACCATTTTCTCCTCCAACTAAGATACTTTCAGTACTCCCTTCAAACAAGAATATAGAATTCCTGATTTCTTCTTGAACTTCACTTTTTCGAAGTCTTGGAATAGTTATCTCGACCACTTCCATAACACTTTTTTCTAAAGCATTCATGTACTCGATACCTTCTCTCAAGTCGCCTTTTACATTGCCCCGGACAAGTAATTGGTCAGTCCATCGAGCTAAATCAGCCATACACTTGTGAACGGCTTTCCGATAGGGAACGAGGTCTTTATTGACTTTTTGTAGCTTTATACAAGTAGTTAACAGATCATCGATGCTGATAACCGAATCAAGAACAATCGCCGCATTATCCGGAATTTTTGCCATGATAATATCCATGTTTTTGCGTTCGAGTACGAGACAAAAATATAGAGCTGCGCTGTTGAGTTCCTTTTGAAGACGTTCAAGCTCTTCAAGATCGCGAGCTTGCTGTGATTTTCGGGAATTTGGACGTCGTAGAGTGTCTTGTTGGTTTTCATAATCAAAACTCGGGCTTTGGGTTGAGTTTTTTTTCTTATTACTGAATGAAGCCCTACGCAGAATCTTCAGAATTTTTGGCTTCTTTCCTCTAGGGAGAGTAAAATGTCCTTGAGGCGATTGGAATTCTTTAGTGAAACCCATAATTTTGCTAAAAGAACTTGCCATCATAAACTCAAATACCTCGGTTATTACAGCATTATTAGGCAAATTTCATATTCTCCTTTACGAAATTTCTCGCTTGAGAGAACCAAGAAGTTTTCTTTGAATATTTTCACTTTCGAAGCCTCGACAAGAAAATATTAAGTTCCTTAGTCTCGTATTCTCTAGTAAACAAACCGAAATGATGTCGGCCTCGAAGCATCCGCCTACGTCAACCTTGCCTAGTTCTTTGATTGAATCCAGTAATGGTCTTTTGGAGACGAAGAAAGGGAGATCAACGCTGCTGTTGTTCAATTTGAATAGAAGTCGGCTCACTGACGACAATTCGAAGTAGAATTCCTTAACAACATCAAAATCAGTTTTGCTGAAGCTTGGTTTCCTTTCAGATAATGTCGAACAATCGTAATCTGCGAGTTTTCAAGCAGCTCTGGAACCCATGTTTCGCCAAATATTCCCTGCAACGTACATGTGTGTCATTTACAAAATGAATTACTTTCTTCAGAGAAATCGCTAATTGCTCAACGAATTTTCCTCAATATTCCTAAGCGATTGCCAGTAAACTCGAACGGATGTTGAAGTTTATCCTCCAGCAGCTTTCAGGGTTCGCGAGTTCAGCTTTTTGGTATCTCTTTTTCGGTTTCTTTCAACCTTGATTTCTGGGTCGTTTTAGTTCGAATCCACTCAGGAACCACTTTGCAAAGGAACGTGAAAAATACCTTCCGCTGACCTCTGCCTGACCCATACTGATCTCTGATTGGTTGATAAAACAAAAGAAATGGTAAATAGCCATAGCGGAATACAAAAGTCAGGGTTCGTGTATAAAGGACCCTCCATAAATGGATTTGAGGAATGATAAACTGTTTGAGTTTAAAGTTCACGGTCTGTTTTGTACTTGTGATTCGTGAACGAAAAAGGGTAGTTTTTTATCGTGATGTAATTTTCAGCTAAGTTGACAGCTTTGGTTTCCGGTCTTTCGTTGAGCGAACAATCAATTTATTTAGATAGTAGCGATATGCGGTATAGGCAAGTCTGTCACGGAATGAAGGAAGTCTTACGAAACTTTATATGTATTGATATCGTATCGGAATAGTACAAAGTGTTGCGAAAGCCCTCAAGGGATTGCAGGTAGAACAGACTTCACTCTAGTCGTATGTACAAAGGTCGCAACGCAGTAGCGAGCGTGGTTCGACTACCCCACCCACGAAAAAGACTAGACAAGATATTGGTTCAACGTCGGTCCATGCCTCACCTTTGTGATATCATAATTTTGCGTGACAAAGCAATGGTAAAGCCTCCGAGTACTTTCGAAAATTCTTTCAAATCATTATATTATACCACCCTTTTTTTCATTTGTAGGTCTTCGTACAGTACAAGTTAAAAACACATACGCGCACGCGATGATATCACGAATTTATAGGCACGCACATTAGAATCGCCATTAGAGATTCAGTTTGTTTCTGAACCTCATACTATAAATTAACAAAATTATCATTAGCTATAAGATTCAAATTCTCTTTAGAAGGTAATCTTTCCTAGTGTAATCGTATTAGCACAAGGCTTTACGTAATATGTCAAATAGAGGACAAAGATCAAGTAGTGTTTCTGTGTTAACAAACAAAGCAAAAAATTATAATGATAATAAAACTTACGTCACGGTTATGCTTATCCACCACGTTGCAAAGGTTTGGTCCCGACTTCCGTTCATACATCGTAGACGACCGGAGATAAGTTAGAATTGTGAATCAGGAAGTGTTTGGGTTTATTATGGCATTCTAGTTTTCAGTATTACAAAGCTTTGCTAATCCTTTTACATTATAGATCCTTGGATCCTAGGATTAAGAATGTGAGGAGGGGCACACAGACAGTAGTGTCATAAGATTAGGCTATTCTGATTACTCGTGCTTTACTTCACGTACAGTTCTAATATCCATAAAGAGGTTTTAGCGTATCGAGAATAAAATAATGTGAAAAAATCTTAATCCATTGTGGTTTCCTATTCATCACATAGTTAACTAAAATCTTTAGAAACAGAATCAAACTGCAGCAGAAATGAAAGAAATGTGACGCACCCACCGTCACATACCAAACATCAACCTCAACATTTGTGTTTTTTTTTTATGCCATACGTGGCCGACCAACAATAATGGCTTCTATTTGTTTAGTGTTTAGTTTAAAATCCTGTTGTAGTCTGAACCTGAGTATCAGGCCTAAGGGGAGGGGAAGGGGAGGAGAGGAGAGGGGAGAAAGCGGGGCGAGAGGAAACTCAGATTAGTTTTAGTGGCGATCTTTGGGAATGGTATCTTTAGTACTAGGCTTAGGCGAGGATGGATGGATGTCTTAATTGATTGATTAATAGATATGAATCGGTTGCCTTATTTAGGATAATTATGTGTTGTATATTAGAGCAGTTTTCGTATGACTGTGAAAAGCTCGGTGCCGTATGCGTGCCTTGCCGCGACCGTGATGTTTTCTAGCATTTCAAATGGCTGATATTTTTACGCGCAATTTGATTGGTCTGGCAGTGCCGTGACTTTGGCTTGATTTTGTACACGCCATGTTTTACATTTATGCGTTTCACACGACTTTAGACTCATAAAAATGAGGAAAAAAATCCACATTCATAATTTTGCCAGTTACCATTTTATTTACTATTTAAATATTGAGGCGCTGTTTTCATTTCTGGTGTTCATTTTAACACCATTTGGGTATTTTTTGGGGAAGAAGGCTAGGGGGAGCTAGGGAGTAGGACACATAACCTGTTAGTGCGAATGTGTTTTCAAATTATTAAAAGTGCTGTTACGCTAGACTGACAATATAGTCCTCTTTACCTTCGTATGCAAATTGCCCATTTCAGATCATTTGACATTCCCTTGAGAATTGTTCTTTTAT